ACGAGTTTATAAGTCACTGTCGCAGAATTGAGTAAGGAATATGCATGTCTCTTTGTTGTACTTGTATGTACTTTTTATATACCTTTGTGTCTGTTAATTACATATGTATGAGACTTGACTAGAGTAAGTGTACCCACACAATAACTCAATAAATATATTATTATTATGGTCGGTGTTTCTTGTGAGAACTCAGGTCTAGCCTGGTTAACTAATCGCACGGATTAAAATCAAGTAACGATCAGTGTCTGTGTCTGTGTCTGGTGAAGTTATGTAGGGTCCTAAAAAAAAAAAAAAAAAAAAAAAAACACACACGTACATTGGACATCTAGGGATAATGTAATTCGTACTTACCAACATACCTATTGATGGGCACAATAGCCAACGCTATCAGGAAAGAGGAAAACAAAACAAAAAAAATCATTATAATAATTCCTGTAATTTTATTAAATGGAGTTTATTGTGTAAGTGTTTCTTTGGCTTTGCGTTTGGGTTGAATACGAGTGGGTTGTGATAACGTGGTGTGCTTCTGTGAAGAAGGAGTTTTGTGTTTTTTAATTGTATTTATGGTGTTTCCTTGTTCCTGAGGTCGTATTTGTGAGGTTGCTTGGGTTTTTGGTGGAGATATTGCAGTATTTTGTGAGCCTGTGTTAAGGTTTTTGCGTTTCGGTTGTATACGAGTGGGTTGTTTCTGACAAGAAGGAGTATTGTGTTTTTTAACTGTGCTAGGGCGTGTAACTTTATTGGATGGACCTGTCTTTGTAGTACATGTTGCGTTACTTGTGTTTATGGTGTTTTTTTGTTCTTGAGGTTGTATTTGTGAGGTTGCTTGGGTTATTGATGGAGATATTACAGTATTTTGTGAGCTAGTAGTGCTGTATAGGTTTTTGCGTTTGGGTTGAATACGAGTGGGTTGTGATAACGTGGTGTGCTTCGGTGAAGAAGGAGTTATGTGTTTTTTAATTGTGCTAGGGCGTGTAACTTTATTGGGTGAACCTGTCTTTGTAGTGCATGTAGCGTTACTTGTATTTATGATGTTTCTTTGTTCTTGAGGTTGTATTTGTGAAGTTGCTTGGGTTTTAGGTGGAGATATTTTAGTATGTTGTGAGCCTGTAGTTCTGTTAAGGTTTTTGCGTTGCGGTTGAATACGAGTGGGTTGTGATAATGTGGTGTGTTTCTGTGAAGAAGGAGTTTTGTGTTTTTTAAATGTGCTAGGGCGTGTAACTTTATTGGATGGACCTGTCTTTGTAGTGCATGTTGCGTTACTTATTATTATTATTATTAACACTTAAAACGCGATATCTCGAGAACAGTGCGTCGTGAATGGGTTTTTCTGGGTATCTTCGGAAAGCTCTCGACCTAACCTAACCGATGCGAGAGTCGCAATTTTGGAACAAAGATCAAAGCTCCGAAAGGGCGGGAACGGATGACCCGAGTACCCAAACCTCTGAATACCAAATTTTTACGAGATCGGAAAGTAAACAGCAGAGATATAGCGATTTGTAATTTGATACCTATTGTAAACACTGAAACCGCGATATCTCGAGAACGGTGCGTCGTAGGTAGGGGTTCATGGGTGTCTTTGGAAAGGTCTCCACCTAATCTAACTGATAGGAATGTTACGCACTATTTGAGATTGACTAAAGAAGAGCACACCAACATATTGGTCCTTTTTGAGCCGAATCAAATATTTCCGCTTTTTTGCCTTTTAGAATACGAGACACAAATGTGTGTGCCGATTTCGGCGGGGGATACCAAAACGGCGTTGGTCACGAAACGCTGTGATCGGCCGGAGCGAGCTCCATTCCGATCTAGTTTCTTAAGAAATAGAGAGATACATATTTTCGCCTTTTGGTTATAAAGAACCGCTCTGATACATAAAAAATGCCCCCCCCCCCACTTTTTTTTACGGAAATACTCGTTTTGAAGTACCAGGAATCTAAATCAAACAAAATCTCGATAATGTAGTTCTGTCTGTCTGTACACTCATTTCGGGCTAAAGCGATTCGAACCAAATTTGGTAGACATATTCTTAGACATAAAGGGAAGAGCTCTGGGCTCAATCGCGCAAATGTGTCAAAGTAACAAAAAAAACTGTCAATTTTTGACGTTTTTCCATATGATGGCTAAACTAGATAAATCACCGATGTTATTGTTGGCATTTGCCGTTTTTTTAAACGTTTTATCGTTGCCTGTTCCTTAGTTTTGGGGGTTATTCGGCGCAATACGATTGTTTGGCTATTTCATTTTTTTTTATTTTTCTCAAAACTTTTATTAGAGAAACCTACGATAAAAATTTCGATCAAATTGCTCCCCAAATAAAAAAGTTGACTATTGCGCATGCGCAGTGCCATTGTTGGAACGGCCATTTTGTTTGTTTTCAAATTAAAAAAATTTGTCTATAAAAGCGAGCGGGAGAGTAATACGAGTTAGACCTTGGGAGCATTGTATTGCGCCGACGATACAAGTAAAATTAGTACCGAGTTTAAACTCTTTGACTTAGGAAAGTGGACCATAAATAAACAGTATAATGTAAGCTGGCACCGCATTTTACTATTGTCCGCAGAAACATTTAGGCGCCAAATTGGTATTCCGACGGATTGCGTAAATTTTGCAATCACGTCAAATTTCCAGCCTTCCTTTAAGAAGTAGGAGTTTCCACCGATTGACTTTTCTTTATTCGTACACTTTTGGAGACTTGGAGGGTAGCAGAACAGCTGATGCTCGAGTCGCACGCCCATGGATTTCGCTATCGTTAGTTACTGTAAAAAATTGCCATGCCGTTAAATAGTAAAGAAGTAGGCACTCAATGATCTGACGCTCGACAGTCCGGCACACACAGCAATCCGACATTGAGCGCCTCAGCTGACCCACTCTGCTGGATTATTGAGCTTATTTGCCATTTGCAAATTTGCTTTTGCGTTCAGTTCCCCCCTGACCTCAGCGAAACCATGCATCTTTTTCTTTCGATGGCGCCTGCCTGTTGTAGTATTCTTTTACCATAGAGATCTATGATAGAATTTATTTCCCACATGGTACATGTAGGATATAAAAAGCCTAAACCCATACAAATTCACTAATCCAACAATTCCAGTAATCCGGCCTAGGCGAGAAATGTTGGATGCTGGATAACCGAGCGCCTACTGGATGTTGGGTCAGTAAAAATTCATGTAGATCACTTCTTGAGCATCAAGCAATCGAGTTTGGTCGTGTTCTCAACAAAATTGGTGCATAAATAACAATTTTAACATCTTTTGGGTAAAAATATTTTACTCTCCACAAACACACGTGGATCGCTTCTTGGGCACCGAGTAATCGAGTTTGGTCTTTTTCTCAACAAAATTGGTGTATAAATGGTAGCCTTTGGGTACAAATATTTAGTTCGCCATAAATAGAAGTGGATCACTGTTTGGGCAACGAACAATTAAGTTTAGTCTTTTTGCCAAGAAAATTGGTGAATAAGAAACGATTTTGACATCTTTCAGGTAAAAATATGTTGGTCACCAAAAATGCACATCGATCACTTCTTTAGTATCGAGCAGTCAAGTTTGGTCTTTTTCCCAAGAAAATTGGTGAATAAATACTTAATGATTTTGACATCTTTTGGATACAAATATTTTGGTCTCCAAAAATACACACAGATCACTTCTTGGGCATCGAAGAATCAAGTTTGGTCTTTTTCCCAAGGAAATTGGTGCATAAATAAGGATTTAAATCAATTTTGGGAGAAAGTGATACATGCCAAAGTTAATTTTTGATAGTTACACTCATAAGCTCTCATATAGCAAAAACCTGAAGTCGCAAGGCCTTTTTCCCCAAAAAAAATCTGACATTTTTTGGGTAAAAATATTTTGCTCGCCATAAATACATGTGGATCACTTTTTGGGCATCGAGCAATCAAGTTTGGTTTTTTCCCGAGAAAATTAATGCCATTACATGTTTTGGCTAAAAATATTTTGGGTACCAAAATACATATGGATCACTTCTTGGGTACCAAGGAATAAAGTTTACTCTTTTTCCCAACAAAATTGATTAATAAATAACGATTTTGATCCATTTTGGGCTATACAGTGATGAATGCCAAAGTTAATCTTTTTCGCATTTTCCAACGGAACTGGGTGCGCTATTACATCCACTTTCTCTGTCTGTCCAAGGCCTTAACTACTACAGGTTTCAATGTATTTAGTTGGTTTTTCTTAATTGTGGTACCTGAGCCGCAAAACATCTTGACGTTTAATGTGCGCATGCGCAGGCTACGCAATATCAACTTTCTTATTTATTAATATATCTTGTTGAAATTTTAACCAAAAATGCTTCTAGTAAATGCAAACATATCGCATGTAGTAGAATCAGACGTGCGCATGTGCAGACTGCGCAATGCCAACTTTCCTATTTATTAAGAATTTTTTTTAACCACGGATACTTCTAGTAAAGGCGAACATATCGCATATTGTAAACATCAAGTGTGATGCGCATGCCCAGGCTGTGCAAAGCTTACTTTTTATAGATATTTTTTGAAATTTTAACCACAGATGTTTCTAGTAAAAGCAAACATCTAGCATAATGGAAAAATCATATGTGCGCATGCGCAGACCAAGTAATAGCAACTTTCTTTTTTATAGAGCTACTTCTTTGAAACTTTAACCAAAGATGCTTCTAGTAAATACAAACATATTGAATAATGTAAAAATCAGACGTGCGCATGCGCAGACTGAGCAAAGCAAACTTTCTTATTTATGGAGAGCCTTAGCTATAGCGCGGAACGATGGACAGACAGTCAGACGGGCGGTAAAGTGAGGACATAAATGGCTCCACTTTCGTGGGTGGCGCTTAAAAACGGTATTGGTTAACTACCAATTCTTATCATTTACGTTCAAGTTCATTTCTTTTATTTTTCCTTTATTTTTGAGTGGGCGGGGATTCAGCCAAGGCTGCTCTACCAACCCAACCCAAATATCCATGCCCGAACCCGGATTCGAACCAAGGACCCTTAGTACCACAGTCCAGCTTCAACAGAAGGGCATTATTTACTCACATTATACGAAATTATAATCCCGTGAGGATTGACTGGCGCCGTCCAAGTAACGAACACAAAACTGGTTAGGCTGATGTTGTCAAATTTACATTCGACAGTAACGTTACCGGGCGGTCCAGAGGTACCGTCCATAGTCGTGCCGTTCACTTTGGTCGAGAGGGGCCCACACTGATGGCTGTATTCGTTGCACGCTGCCACTTGAAAATCATACTGCGTAGCTGCCTTTAAATCGGAAAACATGTACAGGTTCTCTTTGGAGGCCAAGTGCACGGCCTCTCTGCGATCGGTAAAGTTGATTGCGTAAGATAATAACTGATAATAATGGACGAAATCTCTAAGATCGTCAGGTGGAGACGTCCAAGAAATGGTGATGGAGTTTGAAGTCACACCTGTAGCTTTAACCGTGGGTATAAAAACGGGATCCTCTATTAGAGTTCGGACAGGATCGGTCGTAAAATACTGGCTGTCTCCTTCCGAATTGCAGGCCATTATACGGATTATGTATTCAGTATCGTTCTTAAACTCATCCTTGAGAACGTAGGAGCGATTATAACCGCCGATTTCATGCTGATAGTAATACCAATTCGTCTCGTTCTGACCTTTGTAGGAGATCCTGTAGTGGAGACTGTCAGGTTCGTTCCCGTCATTCACAGTCCAATTTAAGAATATTTTCGATTTACCGATCGCCTTAACAAAGTCTATTGTCACTTGCGGTTTATCTAATACTAGAACGGCCGAAGATTTGTTGGCAGTCACGCCGTTGACGTTGGCAACGCACATATACGTACCATTATCCTTTTTATTAAGTTCGTTGATTTCTAACGTCGAATTTTGTAACAGTTCGTCGATTACGTTCACTTTAAATTTCAAGTGTGGTTTATTGTCTTTCAACCAGAAGATTTCGCCAATGGGGAACCCTTCGGCTAGACAGTGTAGTTTGACGTGTTTGTGCAGTTTGACACGAACTGTAGGTGTTATTCTTTTGATATTTGGAAGCAATGTGACGTTTAAAGTTATTTTATGGAAGTCGATGTCTCTTTCGTTGACCGCATGGCAGGTATACTCCCCAATGTGCCGTAAGTCAACATTGACAATATGCAAAATAGAGACTTCTATTTTCTTGCCCGAAGCTTCGTTCACATTCTCACTTTCCATCTCCAGTATGTACCTACGAAGTGGAGGAATGAAGCGCAGTTAGAAAAGAAGTCACCCTTACCTATTGTCTTCGGTGAGGTTATTATTGTTAACTGTCCACCATAATGAGCTTAAAGGTAAGCTAGTTTTACAGATGATGGTGACATTTTCGCCGTAAGGCAAGTTTAATGGGGAATGTTTTAAAACTTGTATTGTAGTCATTACATCTTCATTAGGAAGGGAATGATCTAAAAAAAATCATAACAAGTTCAAAAGTCAATAACCTACAATGTAAATATTATGAATGGCAATTTTTTTGTAATGGAAAGCAGACTTGGAGTAGGTCAGGTATTATTATTTATGAATATGAAAAAGGAGAAAAACCCAAACGTAATAAAAATCAATGCAGACAGCATATTAGGAAATTGATCAGGACAAAGCGGTGGTACTTCAAGTCGACAATAAATAGGCAAAACAGTTCGAAACTTACTCGTATAATCACATTTCGCGTAGAAAATTGACGAAACAACAATGATAAGAAGGATTACTCTTGAATGGGCTTGGCAATGGATCATGGCGTCTTCTTAATTTTGTGTTAAAATGCCACTAATAATATCACTACGATTACGATTAACACAAAAGTCAATATATAAGTTACATGGTTATTAAGTCTCACATTTACAAATTATTATTGGCAATTAGATTCGGTATAAACATGTTAAGAGCGCTACTTTATTTTGAAACCGGCCATCGTTCTGCTAATCTAAATTCTAGGGATTTTACTGGTGGCCGCAGGCGTCAGCTGCACTGTCCCGCTGAATCACCACAGACAAAAAGTCTGCACATTTTTTTCTTAGAAATTAGTTATACATCTATATTTGATATTTTAAGCTGATTTAAATATTAAAATGTTAAAAATAAGTACATTATATACAAGGTGATTCAAACAGTCAAACAAAAGCCGCGACCAAAAGTTCCGATGCTGGTGAAAGCTGATGTCCAGGGTTAGGGGTGGATTTGCGCATAGGCGCCGAAAAAGCAGGGGCGGCCAATTTAAACATTTTTCCTTTGAAAGGCAGCTCTCGTGAAGTTGGACCAGGGCCGTAACCAGAGGGGGCTTAATATACCTAAAGACAATGTAGCCCTAGAAATAAGAGAATAAGCATATATGTCTATGAATGTATAGCATGCTCACAAAACAAAAGAAGATAGATAGAAAGTGGCGATATTAATTAAGATGTTTTAGAGTGAAAGGTGGATTTAATTGTTTATTATATATGTTACCGGCAAACTGCAAAATTCGACATTTTGCAAAATTCCTAGGCATTTTGCGAAGTGACCAATGCTGCAGGCAAAGTGAGAAATGGAACTCGAGTTCGCACTTCTCCTGCCTCTCTTTAGAGATTTCGCGAAATGCCTAAACATTCAGGCAAAGTGAGAATGCTCGGTTATTTTCCACATATTGCGCGTACAGCGGTGCCAAACGTAAAACCGTGTCGCGTAAGTAGCTCCTCCCATCTGATATATTATTTTCCACAGTAAATCCAAAGCGTGACTCAACAGACACCCAGAGAAGAAATGCAGTCTAAACGTGAGCGCAATATTTTGCGAGTTCTTAAATAAAATGGCAATCGTCGCGTCGTTTACCATTCAATGGCAACGCTGTATGCGCAATCTGTGAGAGATGTCGAAGCCTTCGCACTTTGCCTGCATGTTTAGAGAGGCAGGCAAAGTGCGAACTGCAGCTCCGTTTCCCACTTTGCCTGTTGCATTCGTCATTTCGCGAAATACCTAGGCATTTTGCAAAACGCCGGATTTCGCAGTTTGCCGGTAACATATATAGGTATAATAACGCCAGGGCATTCTTCGAAAACGACATTTTTCGGTTTTTTGGCCATAACTTCGCTATTTGTAGAGGTAGAGCTACAAGAAATACTTTGAAAGGGAAAATTAATCAACATACAATTGTGGATAACTTTGCCCATCGGTTTACGAGATCTCCATGATGGTGAAAATTTAAAAAACTCACCCTGTATTATATTGTCATTTTATTATTTTTAAACACATGTCCTACCCTTCATGGTATTCTAATGAAAGGTCTCATCGAAATAAATTGGTTTGTACAAACTATAACTTTCCCGTGCGACTCTTTTTCGAGATCAGTGAGCGACGGGGACTGAAGGGGGGGTCAAAAATTAATTTTATCTCTCATTGTATTTCAAATTAAAGGTCTCAACGAAAGGAACCTTTTCGCCACCTACTGTCCTTTTTCTGTTCTCTTATCAAAGTACGGGGTGGAGGGGGGGGGGGGGGGGTAGAACTAGTTTTATCTAGGGAATGCAATGCGGGGATCGCGGGATCCCGAAATACCGGGATCCAGAATTTTTGCGAGATTAATCCCGTACGGAAATGGAGCGGGATCCCGCGGGATTGCGAAATTTATCGACCAATCTTACCACGGGCACGACGCGATGTTTAAAATTTATTAATAAAACGCGTAGGTAAGTATGAGTGAAACAATAAACTCCTTTTTGAGAATCGAAAAATGCGCTAAAAATGTGACTCGTTTTTGCGATACCTGCGATTATCAGCTGTATACGTCTGTCTTTGTTAGGTATGTTAGCACTAGGGTTGCCAGATCTGATAATTACTTATAGAGAAGTAAGACAAAATTATACCTAGGAGACATATTTCATTCCAGAACTTATTACATCCATTAGGTATAATAATATAATTGGCATCTACATTTTAGATACATGCTCGTATTTTTTTACTTTTTTGGGCTTTTAAGAGTAGCGATTTTTCATTTTTTAAATAATTATAAAATTCCTTACAATCAAGTTATACCTATCACGCTAAATTTAAATTGTTTTGAATAATATTTCATTATTTTTATTTGAAAATGAAAATATAGGAGATTTATAATATTTTAGAGGATATAGGAGATCTCTTTGAAATAGAGAGTACTCCTATTCAATAGAGAAGGTCTGGCAACCCTAGTTAGCACCAATGAATAATTCTTTATTCATTGGTTAGCACAGTATGCTCCTTATTGAAACGAAATGGAAGAATATATATATACCTATGTATATAAGATCTAATGATCTAAGATTATTTGGTACTTTTTTCTTGTTGCGGTTTATGCAATAATTACGCGTTAACTTGTATGTGTTATTCACTTTCTTGAACAGCCAGTGGGTGCGAAAATCTGATTTATTTTGCAACCATTTAAACGTATATGTACCAGTCGAATTCGTCGATAGTTTATAATAACTTTAGCAGTACAGTGGTAATATTGTAGTGAATATTCTAGAAATCCAGATAAACATGGAGCCGTCATAAAAGATTAGTCACCGACGATAAAAAATGAAAGCGGAGGTGAGGCACCCTTTCCGGGAAATATGTGTTTTGTTCGAGAATATTGGGTTAACCGCACAAAACTGCTTATTTCCCAAATATATTTAAACATTTGCGGGATCCCGCGGGATTGACATATAAATATAACGATCCCGCAAATACCGGGATTGAAATTTTGCTGCGGGATTGCATTCCCTAGTTTTATCCTTCATGGTACTCTAATGAAAGATCTCAACGAAAGGAATTAATTTCTACCAACCATAGCCCTCCTCCTCGACCTCTTATCGTGATCGGGTATATCCCTTATACCTCAAAAACGGGATTGTCGGAAGAGGGTACTCACAAAGGGCGATTGAGACGTCTGCAAGAAATATGTCCATTGGTGATGTCAAAACAAAAGCTATTTCGATTAAAAAATATGCGCTTTATCTGCACACGAGTTGTGCATACAATTTATACTGTTTTTACCACCGTAGTACAAGCATAAGCGAGATCTACACACGACCTCCAACTTTTATGACAGAAATCTGCGATTTGGATTCCTATAGGAACTCGATTTCAAAGATCACCATCAGTCCGCCTGCCTGTGCTCTTATTTCCTGACAAACCACTAAACCGAAAGTAACTAAAGTCGGCACACGTGTTCTTAGGCGTAAAATTTGAAAAGCTTTCGAAAATGAGCTTATTATTTTTATTTATTAAATCAATTAAACTTTATGCTACCGCAAATGATGTAAACCATGGTATAATAAAAAATGTAAACTGTGTTTTGTAAGAACCAAAACTCTAGTACCTACTGCTATACGTGGGTATTTCCAGCGCAACCTACTGATCCTATAGGCAGATATAGAGACTCTGCTTTTAAAGTCGATATACGATACCATATAGTTGTGTTATATTATGACGATACACACGGATCATTTCTTAGGCGTCGAGTAATGGAGTTTGGTCTTTTTCCCAAAAAAAAATGGTGATAGATAAGATCGATATTGGGCAATAAAGTAATAGATGCTGAAGTTAATTTTGACGTTGTATTAGTTGCCCATCTGGAACCCATAAGCTTTCATATATAGGGAAAACACAGGACCAGAAACGGATGTCCTGACTCCCGAGGAGGTTTTGTGCTATCTGCGTAATGTTCGCGCCCCAATGTCTACGTCTCAATGTCTGCGTTCTAGTATCCGCGTCCCAATGTCGGCGCCCTAATGTCCGCATTCAAATGTCCGCGTCCTAATGTCTGCGGCCTATTTCCTTTGCGGTCTTTTGTCTGGCGGCCCAATGACGGGACCCTATTGTCTGCGTCCTAATGTCTGGAGGCCTAATGTCCGGTCACCGCGATTCTTCGTACCTTTAGTTTCTATTGGAAATTTTATTTTGTTATTTATTATAGGTACTTAACGAATTTATATTCCTGCATCAAAGCCACGTTGGTGAAATGTGAAAATTGTCAATAGTTTCCTTATTAACGAGCTCCTAGCGAGTTTATAATTTTGCGGTATCTGTCCGTCCGTCCGTTAGCACGATAACTCATAAACGAATGGACCGATTACGATGAAATTTTGCAGGTGCATTCATTATCAAATTTGTAGATCGGAGTTCGTGAATTGGCAATGTGGACAAAAAAATAAAGTAGGTCCTTTTGACATCTCCGTTAGTTATGAACCGAACTTAGACCAATATATGATCTAAGATCTCGACCATTACTATACGGACCGAATTGCAAACTTTCTTATTTATGAAGGTATTTAAATGAAATTTGATACATAGCCACTCGGAATAAAAGCCAATATAACTCCAATTTCAAAATTTGGTTTTGCATATGCGCAGTGCTAACTTTCTTATAAATGGAGGGATTTAAATGAATTTTGATACATAGCCACTTGGAATAAAAGCAAATTTAACGCCAGTTTCAAAATTTGGTTTTGCGCATGCGCAGTGCCAACTTCCTTATTTATGGACGGATTTCAATGAAATTTTATACATAGTCACTTGGAATAAAAGCAAATGTAGCGCCATTTTCCAAATATGGTTTGTTTAGGATGTGCAGTGCCAACTTTCTTATTTATGGAAGCAATTAAATGAATTTTCATACATCACCTTAAATAAAAGCAAAACTAACATCAGGTTTAAAATTTGGTTTTGCACATGCTATAGCCATACTCAGGAGCTCGTTTGCTATATTTGTTTAATTTTTTTTATTTAGAACAATTTGAACTTTTGTTGAGAATCTGTGAGGATATCGTACATACAGGATGTCCCATTAGGAAAAAGTGCGTTTTTAAGAAGTGCGGGATTTACGGGAACACGCGTAGGAACGGCGTACCCACTCTACTTTTTCCAAGGATATGTACCAAGGTTATCCGTAAATTTAAGATATCTCCAATTTTCATATCATTTTATCGCAACCTTTTACCAATTCTGAAATCTTTGACTTTTACTTATTTTCAAGCCGCTACTACCTATACACGTCATTTGTAAATTACGCCAGCGCCTCTAGTGTTAATCGGAATCGCGAATTACTTATTCAAACTCAAGCCGCTTGCCAAAAATTATCTAGAAACGAATTTTAAAAATAAAGTCTAAAAAAACCTACAAAGTCGGTCACTAACTCTAAATTTGTGGTTCACTTTCCCCAACATAATTCAGAGGAGGGACGACAGAATCCTGGGTAACTTTTCTGGGGCGTTATACTTCGTTAAAGTGCCTAGTATACTTATTCAATGGTGTGGGTAAATTCATCTTTAGGCTGATGGTCAGTGGTCTGTCATCAATCCCTACTGCAGTAAATATCCAAACAATGAACCCCCTCACAATCATATGAGTGAAAGAACTTGCACATGCACAAAAGATAACGAAACTGGTGATGCGATAGCCACATGTATGTACTGTGACCAAAGAACTTATATTAACTACTCTCTTGAATGCATTCCTTGAACAAACTCAAAATGCGAGACCTAAAGTGTGCGAGTACCTCTACAGGTACAGTCATTGACAAAAGTAATGGTCGCCTAATAGATAAACTCTGCAGTTTCTTCAAAGAGATACCTTAATTTGGTGGTTCACAATATATTCAAATGCTGGTTATGTATGCTGCAGGATTTAACTATTCGTTGATCATTACTTTTGTTAATGACCTTGTTGGTAATAACCGGAGAAACAATATTGCGAAGAAAAAGCTATGGATGCTAATGTTAAGTAATATTTTTTATTTGTGATATGTATACATTGTACCTATATTAGCCTATTATAAATAAAAGTACTTCTAATGTGTATGTGATACAAGCAGCACAGACAGGAAGACCATAAAAAATTGAGTGCCAACACTCTTACGAACCTGTACCAAGTTTGCAAGAGATACCTATCAAGATACTAATGGTAAATATTTGTTTAGTGCACCTATTATTTATTAAAAAACTCCCACCCTTAGTCACAACACATATACATTTAATTAATGTCATTAGATTAAACAATTGTCGAGTTATTTCAGTCTTGATGAAATTATTAATAATCTGCACTAGATAAATGGATTACAGGTGCTCAAAAATTTCAGTACCTACATTTGGTAAGCTACCAGAATTGTGTTAAAAAATTATTCACAGTACTCTATACAAGTCAAATCGTAACAATATCAGGGCCGCTGATATGGGGGGTTAGCTCGGATAAATGCTCCGTGGCCCACTCGCATCCTGGGGGTCCATTTGAAACATAATTTTTTTGGAATAGTGATCCAGAAGTGTTTAAGAGAAATTGTGATAATTTCTGTTATTATAATAAATAATAAAAATAGCAGTACATGTATGAAGTTATTCAAATGTTCTCCGTTTGAATCCAAGAAATAAAGAAAGAAAATGTTTAAATCATCATAATTAAATATACCAGCCGCGGCCCTGAACAATAAATACTGCTAATTCTAACAGGCAAACAACTACAAGAGCTACGAAGGTTTCCAAGTAACCAGCTGTAGTTTTCGATTAATTTCCGCCAAAATGATGGAGCACTGCAATTGTTTCTCTGCCGTTAACGGAGCAATGGGCTCCTCCTCTTCGTCCTCCTCCTTTTTAAATCGCCTCCTTTTCGATTTAACCAAATCTTTTCTGTCGTCATCCTCGCATTCGCTATTACGCAGTTTCACCTGAAAATCGAATTTGTTAACCGACCGAAATTTGATCTACTTTACCTTCTTGATTTGTTTGTCGTACTCCAGGGAATCGTAATAGTTGGGTTTTTCACGGCGTACTCTCTGGGTACGTCTGCGTAAATCCTCACCTGGAGATAATGCACGCGAATTTCGCCTCGCATTAAAAAAGGAATGGCCACAAGGGCAAGCTTTGCACGCTACGGGTACCTGTCGTATACTACCTTTAATACAAGTTAAAAAATATTCTAGGCTACCTGTTGGTCACATTTCGGGCAACCTTTCGCTATCATTTTATGCTTGGGCATTGTTATCTGCAAACATTATAAAATGTATTGGAACACAATCTAAATAAAAAGTTAGGTTATGTTTACAATTTGATTGTCATCCTTCAAGGTTTTCCATATTTTTATTTGTATTACTTAATACCTATTTATGTGAAAATGAAAAACGCGGAATTTCCTGAAAAGTTCTACACCATTTCTTCATATACCGCCAAAGAAGAATTGATAAGTTCCGATGTGGGAGATATTTAAACCCTTTACCACTGTGTTGTTGGGTAAGCGTTTGTAATAAATTTAACTATTTCATCCTTTTCAGGGGTAAAATACAACTAGCACCTCTTATGTACTAAGCAACCGGTATTGGGTTTACATATTGTATTTGTATACGTAGGTACGGACCTACTGACTGAGTGACTAAACGACATATTACCGCTAATTGCATTTCCAAAGATGAGTTTCTACTCAGCTTAGTGTGGATGTAACATACCACTTGAATTAAGAACTCGCATATTTTGCTCTGCAAGAAGCGTTACGTAAAATTGAATGTAATATAGAAATTTTATTAGTGGGAAATGTGTAGATCAATTTATCTTTTACAATGAGGGCTTGCGTTTACTTCAGGCAGATCCAGTCTATCATGTCATATGACGTACCACTTGGGGAGACTTGTTGATAAAATTTTCCACTTACAGAGAAATGCTAGCGCATAGTTGCTAGACTGATTTATGGAATGACTGTTTACGGTATTTAAAATACACAGACTTCTCCATGTGTCTTTTTATGAGAAGTTTTATAATGGGTGTTACAATTAATTCTACTTCATCATACCTCTGGTTAATGATAACCAGACTCGATTAAATTGGGGTAGTTCTTCTTAGGTAATTAAGTGTAAATGTGCTCCGGCTCGCTGTCTGTCAATAATCCTCTGCTTAAGGAAGAGGGTAAAGGGATAAATTAAAATACAAAATGGTTCTTATTTTCTTTAAGGTTAATCTTTGCTGCAATAGAATATAGTAAATTGGGTTTGTGTTTGTGCCAAAAAAATCCTGTAAGGTCAGGTCGTATACACTCGAGTCTGTTTCCCTTGCTGTTGCCTATGTGAGAGGTGAGTTCGCTATAGTACCAAACGTCGTCACGGGCGGCGCATGAGTCGAGGAATGTCTAAAAAAAACGCGCGCGCTCGGATTCGAACCCGCGGTCGTAAGTCGGCGGTTAAGCCAACTGCGCTCACACGCTTTACGTGCGCTTATACTCTGGCTATATGATATTGCGCCTATTCCTGACAACACGTAAGAGACTCAACAGGGTTTCCAGACTCGTGTGTAAAGCAAATGTTTAAAACGCATTCATTCACAAACACACATTTCGCATTGATAGGAAATATTCAACTTTATTTATAAATGAACACCCTGTATAATAAAAAAAACAACGCGAACTGCAATGCGTTATAACATGTTAAGGATTTTCAGATAAAATTTCTACTTCAACTTGATGAAAACTGCAAATAGGGGGTTAAATCGCCTTGACATAAGTATACAAAATTAAAGAGCTAGTTCAATTCTATAACGAAGCTAACGACAAATGGCAACACGCCGGAAAGTGGCTATACTACAACGTGCTGGAAGAATTGTTCATAAATGTCTTTAAGGCTCCTCTGTAGTCAATCCGCCATATTGGAAAAATAGCTAAACTTTCCTATGAAATGCTGCTTTTGTAGTTGAAGTCTGACAAATTCTCGATAGTGGATATTCTTTGCAATGATGAAAAGGACGGCGGTACTTAAAAAAAATTGAAATATCGGTCTTAGTTTTTTAGGAAGATCGATGAATAGAAAAATCGTTTTTCGTAAATAACCGCCGTTGTAATGGGAGTAGAAAAACGTATAGCACCAATTTGGAAACCCGACAGTATTTCTTACGGCGGTACTTAAAGATATTATTTCCATCTATTATGGTAAGGCATATATTTTAAAAAATATGTTTCGCGATTTTCAGAAAAAAAATCAAAACGCTAACGTAGGATAGGCAACTCAAATTGCACTTATAACGCCTGAGGCGACAACTCATTACTTGAAAGGAAAAACAAAAGAAACTACCTGGCATTACCCTACACATTGTTACGCCGTTCCTAATGATATGGATTAGATAAATTACTATTTATTATTTATTTATTTGAATGCTGTTGATTTGTAAATCATAATGTCACATATTCCCAAGACGAAAAATGGATATCCTATTATAGGTAGGTACATTGGAAATAATTTTTTATTTCTAAAACCTTTTGCATCCCATCGAGATGCTTCAAGAAATAAAAAAAAAACCCTATAATGAGGCTGTAATAATATTTCCCTTTGACGGGGCGGGGGATAGTACAATACTAGGTACATACTTCACATATTATATCATAAGTTGTGCTGAATATGAACTCTGTTTTATAACAATGATTTCAAACTAGCAGAAGCGTAGCACTTTGTTTAGTTAGATCAAATCAAATATGACTAAATTACACGTTTGTGTATATTTCCCACTCGATTTCCCATCTAAAATTATCAGTTTCCTCTGATAGTTCAGTACGCGGAGCAGTCAGAAGGGCCGATTCTTGCAAAATGTGGTGTAAACGATTTTAACGTTTTAAATGGTCCATTTGGGTCCAAATAACATGTATTTGAAGAGTGCACACCAATTTTTTCCCGGCACAACTTTTGGCAGCCAAAAAACCTCAAAACGTTCGGACTTTTTTCAGTTTTTCGTTTAAAACTCGAAAAAGGTCCATATTTTATGAATAACACTTCTTTAGTAAATTAAAGAAAGCAAAATTCTGCGTCGATAAAAAAAAACGAACAAAATCGGTCCAATAGAAAAATTTTTACAAGCGATCAAAAAATGCCTATTTTTTCCAACTTTTCTAAAGAACTGAGTTAACCTTTTTTTAATGGGTTGTGGCTCCTAAAGGAACGATAAAATCCACTACCCCCCTCCCTAAAGATTGTAGAACATCAATCAGAGAGTTCAAAAAGTACCAACAATTTTAAATTGGACCAATTTTTGAAATTCGCCTTTTTAGTTAAATTCCTAAGCGGGATACGATAACTAATGGCCGACACTGACAAATTTTTTAAAACAAAGTGCCACTGTTTTGCTCATGTAAAGTCAAGTTAGTGAAAGTGGTGGATATAAAAAAATTCTTGCACTTTTAAAAAAATTCGACTATTTATCTTTCCGTTTGAGAATACCTTTTGGTGGAGTCCCACAAACTTCACATCAACTTGGGGAATTTTTTTCAAGTTTCCAATACTATATAGCGACAGAAACCGGTAAATTTTTTACTACTACCTACTTTTTTTTCAATATGCACTGATATCAACGTTACGGTATCTTGGAGATGATGACAACAGGAACTTGATACTCGAAGGAGTAGGTAGATGAGAGCCAGCAATTAGTGCATTTAGGAATTGATTGGCCGCTATAATTCCGTTGACTGTGATTTCGCGATTGACTTGCGTCAAAACACGAGAGGGATGGGGAGTTGCGGATCATTGAGTGCAAGTAATGATAGGGGCTAGGATAGGGGTGCCGTAGGTGTGACTCGATCACACGCTTGGCCCGAATATCGCTTATTATCGCCAGACATATTTTCGTTCATGTTCGCTATGAAGCGGTGCATATGTAAATTTTCGTATGTTGGACAAAATACAAATTCGAAAAAATACGTTTTAATTCTAAAGCGACCACCTGATATTTACGAAGGCACAGTAATATGCACTGATGATTGTGTGTCTAATGATTTCTGTTTGTTACAGCATTAAAAATATAATGGCGTGTTTTTGGTTACACCAAAACGAAACGTCAATAAACATCCCAGGAGTGGAGGAAATCAGTGCTGTGACCTATTATAAGATCGAAATAAATGTCGGTGATGTAAAATGGGGAGTTTCACATCGCTATAATGACTTTTACGATCTCCATAATATTTTAGTTGTGGATCATGGTGTATCGAAAGACATATTGCCGCCGAAAAAAGCGATACGAAATAAAACGCCCGAGTTTATCGAGACTAGGAGGCGAGGTCTGGAAGCTTACCTGCGAAGCGTGTTGAATTACTTAAAACGAACGATGCCGAAAGTCTTCGTCGAGTTTTTGAATTTTCACGCATTCGACATTTATTTCATGTTGCAAAATTTAGCGCTCCACCTCTACTTCGAGGCCGATAACGTTCTGTGCTCTACGAAGAGCTATAAGTTTAACCCGTTGCAGGTGGGTGATTGAAATAGGGCCGGGAGCAATTAACGCGTCATTTCTTTAGTTACACGCAATAAGTGAATGCTTTAAAAGACCGTTTCCGGAAATCGAACATAATGATATTCGATGCGATTTGAGCAACGTTATGGATTTCTGCTCTCAGCTGCAGCACTTGTGTGTAGTTGGCTCATTAGCGAAGTTTCAATCTAGTAATTTAATACCCAATCGACTTCCTTTTGAGCTTTCTGCATTTAAGGTAAGTTGATTCTAGAGTCATCCTTTAAAATTAAATACATCTGCACTGCATTTTGCTGGCAGTGCCCATTTTACTTTTAAGTAAAGATAATAAGCCGGATCCTTTAGTCATTGCAGTTCTTAGAAGTTGGCGGCATTAATTTCGAACAGCTATACAGTACAGGGACCTTGCGAAGTCTACTTCAAAACATACGGGTTCATAAGACGGCCGTGACCAGTATTTCACAAATTTTACTATGCGATGTTCTACATAAGTCGGTTGTAAATCAGAGCGAGGCAAGTAATTAGACCTTGGTGCATGTGATGAACACTTATAGCGTATTTTTGCAGATTTGGACGGCGATCACAAAAATAGACTTTAGTAAAAATAATCTTACGAATATTGACGAATCAATTCAGCTAGTGCCTAATGTAAAAGTCCTTTTACTCGATCACAATAAGATATCTAGTATTTCAAATTTATCGTTTTTGACGCAATTGGTTCACTTGAGCCTGTCTGACAATTTAATTAGTAGTTGCGATCAGCTGCATACGAAGTTAGGAAATATACGGACACTGGATTTGTCGCAAAATGCCATTGTGTCTCTACGAGGTTTTTCCAAACTGTACTCTCTGGAGAGCCTCGATATCAGTTTTAATAAAGTAAGTGAGGTCGAGGACGTCACCTGTATAGGCGATCTCCCGTGTTTAGAAAATTTGATTCTGATGGGCAATAGTGTAGCTACCACCGTTGATTACCGTATGAAAGTATTAGAGCCGTTCGGCGAGCGGTCAAAAGACATTTGTTTAGATAATGAAAAACCATCGCAGTCAGAAATTGACAAGGTTTTGATATTGAGAGCTCTTAGAATAGTTAAGGAAGGTAAAATGCCTAGCTTTAAACATAGCTTTTCTAGTTTGTAGCAGTTATGTAATAAATTTTATTTATATTTATTGATATTTTTGTAACATTCCAATGTATTGAATTGTATTTTTTATATTGCCCTAGTCCAATATGAATACCGTACCTGCCAGTACATTATTATATACTGTTAATATATATATATAATTTTATCACTAATACTAATTTTTTGTTTTCTTAATGGATCCTCGGTGCCAATGGTAGCTATTTTGATTTTGGCATACTTTTACAGCTTGGGGCGCTGCTGGTTGGTGAGAACGCCCTATATTTAATAATCGGTCAATAAATGGACCCTTGAATTTGGGTCGATTGATATATTGAAATTACGGATAAAATTTAAATTCTTGAACAAAAAACGAATCTACCCCAAATTCAACAGTATCTACACATTAGGTACTATGTATATCAGAAATTTAAAGTTGGTTGAATCCTTAAAGACCAATTGATCAGGGTTTTTTACCTTAGATTTTATACAAATTCTTTTTAGCGCATTTCTACTTGCATTCATTTCTCATTTGTAAGATGCAACTTTTGTTAAAATTGTAAAAATCCGGCGACAAATATGAAAGATAGAGTTGCACATGTGCAATCCATTTTTGACGTGCTACTTCAATTTCAGTTTATAAGAAGAGTTTCATTTCAATGCTTTTCTAAATAAGAAAGTTGGAACTGCGCATGCGCAAACCTAAATTTTGAAACTGGCGTTTGATTTCCCTGTATTCCAAGCGCCTAAGTATCAATTTTCACTTAAATGCTTCCATAAATAAAAAAGTTGGCACTGCGCATGCGCAAAACCAAGTTTTGAAACTGGCGTTTGATTTTCCTTTATTCCAAGCGCCTATGTATCAAATTTCATTTAAATTCTTCCATAAATAAAAAAGTCGGCATTGCGCATGCGCAAAACCAAATTTTGAAATTGGCGTTCGATTTTCATTTATTCCAAGTGCCTATGTATCAAATTTCATTCAAATACTTTTATAAATGAAAAAGTTTGCAATTCGGTTTAGAAAGGGTCGAGATGCGAAAAGGGCACTGTGAATTTTGAATCGATTCGACTCAACTTTTGGCATTGCGTATTATATGACTAAAGCTATGCCCATATTGAATTTCATGCAATTCAGTTCATAACTAACGGAGATCTAAAAGCGATCGGACATTTCTAAACAAAGTTATCGTTCACACGGACAGATAGAGGGACAGACAGACAAAGAAACAGACCAACAGACAGACGACAGACAGTAATACAAAATTATAAACGATCTTTAGGATCGTTAATAAACGGCAAAAGTGTAAAATTATGGAACATGTAAAAAAACGGTTTTTTGTTTTTTTTACAATAACTTTTTTTGTAAGCGGTACAGAAAAAATTCCTTCCTTGGTGCAAGACGACACCATAACGAACCAAATAGCGAAAAAAGTAGAACAATAGCTCTTAAGATAAAAAACTAGTAGTGTCTCAAAACGAGCGGACGGACGGACAAAGTGGCCACAATAGCGCATTTCAAAATATAAAAAAGCTAAAAAATCTAATTGAAAACAAATCTTTCATTGCTATAGGTACAAACATTGTTTAAAAGTTGCTGATAACGGTTTACGTATCGTCAGCTTGTAAACGGTGTCTCTATTTACGCCAAAGGTACTCTTAGCTTTAATTTGAAAATTGGACATCTCAAAACCAAATACTTTGTTCTCCCAAGAATTTAGCACCTGGTTTTTATTTGGTAACAATAAGGGACTACCAAGACTGTAAGGCAGATTGGAGTGGATAGGTATGGAAAAACAAAAAGACTCAATAGAAGCTGGAATAATGAACTCGTCAAAACGTTACAAAGGAACTGATAGATTCTGAAGATATGTAAAGACACCGGTTATCAATTATAAGGAAAGGTTAGCCTGCCCGTTCAATTGCCCCTCGGTGAGATATACGATGGTAGGTATAGGACTATAGGGATGTCAACGCTATGTGATAAGTGTAAGGTAAATAAACCAAAATGTACTGTTTATTGTCTGTATTGTATTTCGAGAGCAGTACTATTTACAATTTTTGTTATACAAATACACTTTCTATTAAACTTGAGAAATCTAAGTTATTACTTCCATCATTGAATTACATACACATTTTACAGAATTTATTTGATCATCATTGTAGAAAAAATTAAAAGTCTGATAATCGGTTTGATTTTCAATAATGGAATAGTCAATTATTACTGTTCAAACTTTATCGGGCGGCGCCCTTGCCTGTAAGGAATGAGTTTCAGATATTTCCGTTGTATAATAGAAAGTGCATAGTTGCCTATACTTAGTCAATATTATAATACAAATTTGTTGCTCTGATTCATACGAAATAAGTATCTTATAAATACGCACATCAGTACTATACATTAAAGTGTGGGGGTCAAAATTGACAGTGTTATTCGTTTGCGATTTTTAAAATTACTAACGTTTAGCAAGCTACAATATGAAAAAATTTAAAAAAAGAGATACAAGTAATGATTATGTATGTAGTGGTTTATAAAATAATTTTTCACTTTGTCCGTTAAAGGAATTCACAAAGAAATCCATTTAAAGTAGTAGGCACGTGAAAATATCCATATGTTGTACAGTTACACATTTACACACGTAGGTGCCAGAGACTTGTTGTAGGTGCAAGTACAGTATTTGTGGTATGCCATTTTTATTTACACCATTTCGACAGGCGTATTTTTACAACTGATTTTTCTATAGATTTGATACCAACGTGGGGTTTAATCCGGTAAGATTTAATATGACAACCAAGTCAGCCAAGTTCTGCTGTTTGTTCTGACGTTGTAGCCTATTTGGCCACCATAACAATATACTTTGTGTCTTCCCTTTGATACATATTTAAAGCCGCATAAAAACGCCACAGCTTCGACTGTGAAGGTGAATCTTAAACAATCTAATTTGAACTGTTTCTATGAAATCCTAGTAACAATATGAGTAGCGCAGTTCTTCAACTCATTCTGATTTGTTATGGAGCTGACCACTATGTATAATGATCCATCATGGATTTCATTACCGTTGTATGGGGGACAGGTATTGATAGTGGCTTTCTCTTTCTAAAATTCGTCCGCAAGGATAGATTGCTAAATGCAGTCACAATTTATTAAGCTTCTTATAAGCATTCACCTCCCCACTTAACTTGCACCACTGGTAACTACACAATGTATCTGTTCCCATTGCGCGAACTATCTTTCACAATGGAGTATCGAAAAATAGTTTTCCTACTGGGACCAAAAGGAATATATACAATACATATGTGGGCATTAATTCGTTAATCCGTTAGTTAACGAAGTTAATGATTTGCTTAATGCCTTATCTTTTAAGTTAACTTCTAAAAATTATTCTCTGTTAATTTAGTCCGTTGCATTGGTTATTTATTGATGTAGGTATTATTTTATTTTTTCAATTACACACCACTTGACGTTTGTACTTTCAGTAGTCGTATATGAGTGGCAACGTACGTATCGGAGTTAACTTTTCAACTAATGGATTAGCTGTTAACAATGTTAATTTTTGGTTTAACTGTGCCCACCATTGAATATATACCAAGTTTCAAGGACCTCAGCTGTTTGAGAGAAGTGAATACAGGCAGACGATTTCAAGCACTTTAATAGTTAGCCGTTTTTCTATTATTTTGATGAAATGTGTACTTTCCACACGTGCCATAATGATTTGTTTTTCCGTCCCCCAGAATATTTTTATATACCTACTTAAATTGGATTCATGCTCAGGCGCTTCTTCAATACACTACAACCATTAGAGTGCCATAAAAAATTTTCGCTACTTAGATTTAAAGGGCTGAACAGGTTTTCTTGGCGTGGGCTGTCTCTGGCGTGCCAAGAAAGACCCCTGACCAGCGCTTAACATCGCGAGACGTTCGTCGACGGATTCACGATGCCTCGCCAAGCACAACCGATAAAATGCTACCGACAACATCTGACTCTCCATATCTTTCATATTGTTTTGTCGTATCGACTCTATGGTTTCCGATCGCGGATCCAGCGATTGGGCCACCTCCCTCGCTTTTTCCAGGTTACGCGTGTACTTTATTTGGTTCGCGTGTAACTCTGTGTCTTTTGCGTTTATAGCATCTTGAAGTGAGAGAATTCGTTGCTTGTACTCCTTAATACTGCCCTCCAATTGAGTCGCGTAGTCATCCATTTGAGTACGTTGCTGGTCTTGAAGCTGTGTTTCAAGCTCCATAACTTTTTGATTTGCATTGCGATTTTGTTCTGTTAATTTTTCGATCCGACTGAGAGCGTCATCTAACAGTGCCTGTTTAGCGCAAGCATCCTGCCCGGTGCTACGTAATGTTGTTATCTCCTTCTCAAGAAAGTGAAGTCGCTCCTTCATTTCGGTCGGTGCTAACTCTCGGGCAACGTCCGCACCATTAGTCACTTGCTGCTTGCCAAGTTTCAATTCGTCGATCTCTTCACGCAAAATATTACGTTCAAGCGTTAACCTGTCTTTTTCACTAACTAAAGCTGTGTATTTAGATTCTATATTCTTCGTTTGGTAAGCGGCTCGTTGAGATTTCTGTGTTTCCTCATCCAATTTTTGTTGGAGATCCGCAGCTTGCTTCTTATACATTTCGCACTGATTCTTCCAAGCTATCCCATTCTTTAGTTCCTCCTCGTAGGTCATATTTTGCTGATAATATTCCAGGTTTTTGTCTTCGAGATGCTTTAACTGTTTCTTAATATCGCCGTACCCTTCCAACTTCTTTTTGTACGATATAACCGCTTGCTCCAGAACCTTAACTTTATCTGCGGATTCGGAGAGAGCATCCACTTCATCTTTCAAATGGACAGCGGCGTCCGCCGCCAACTGTAATTCTGAGATTTTTTCTTGCAGCTGCGCAATTTGCCTGTCCTGTTCTAACGTTTTTGCCCTGTAATCGTCACGACATGTTTCCAACTTGAAGATCTCATCTTTTAGTAGATCCAATTGCCGACGATTATCGGGACTGCGTATATTCTCCATATTTTCTCGTTCCTTCGCTTGAGTCGTTAACAACTGATTGTCGGTCAACAACACCTGCTTCTCTTCCAGTAGACACTGCACCTGAACTTCCAAATTGTGGCACTGCTGCGCTAATGTCTCCTTTGCATCGTTCGCCACCTCCAAATCTTGCATTAGCTTAATTATTCGTGTATCACTCTCCATGCTGATCAAACTAAACTCGGTACGACCTGTATTCCCTGTAACTTCCTCCAATTGCTGAATCGCCTGCATTATACTTTGCTGCACAGTCTCTTCTAACGCCAGAAACTGTGTAATGTACTCTTGCTTTCGATCACAGTTGATAGCGCATCCTGAAACAACACGATAAAATAATTACATTAGATGAATTACTCTTGGCAGTGGGGCAGATTTGAGTATTTATTAGAGTTAATTCTTGGTGACTATTAACATTTTGTCAGTGACCTGAGGAAGTATTGGTGGTATGTTCTACTATATCTTCCAATACGATATTGATTTTATGATCTCCCTACTCACATCAGAAAACTGTTTAATAACAGATACTTGCTTTGTTTCAAATACTAATCCAGTATTAAGCTGTGAGAATATTCTGATCATATTGTCCCGTATAAATAAGAAAACAGGCATTACTACAACAGCTTACCATAATTTTCAAAATTTTGACAGTGGTAGGTAGGTATATCAACAGTGACTTAAGGACACTTCCTCCACACCAACTTGAAAATTATTAGATCAATTCCTCTTGTCGACATTAGTATAATGCCAAATTTTAAAAATATTCTGAGGTCTCCTTTTCGAGATATAGATGTTAAATAAACAAAAAGATACATTTCTTAAGATAAACTACTTCCGGCTCTAGTGGGACATAAAGGACAATGCTTGCTCAACAGATTTAGTGTGTACAACCGAAGAACAGAGAGTGTTTCAATATTAAAAGGAGTGTCTCAGGGGAGTATCTGTGGACCCCTTCTTTTTTTAATATCTATTCGATACTGTCGTGCTAGAGTTGCAACATAATTTCAAACTTACAGCATCTTGGTATAGTAAATCTGAACACACGAAAAACCCTAGACCATGGCTTCATATGCTCTAATACAGTTTAAGTTTCTTGAGGTTAACTTTTAACGTTTATATTAATAACATAGCCACCGAGAGGCATTGCACTCCCTCAATACATGCGCAAAATATGGGTAGTCGGTCTAGAAATTGAGCAGTCACAGAAATAATTCAAAATATCCGACACAATCTTCTCGCACAGTTGTCGTATGACAAAGTTCCCCATATGTGTACATAGACAAATTGTGTTTAGGCCCGGTTGCATAACGCGTGTTTGGTAAACTTCAGCTGAGATTTTCCGGTGCCTAAAAATTAATCGCAGCGGTCGAACCGGCGAAAATCAACCGGTCGAGTCGCTTGAACTGACAGTTGAGGGGCCGGCTGATCCGTTGGCAAGAACAACAATAACTTGAAAACCAGCTTTTCTGCTCATATTTTTACTTTTGTTGGTTCTAGTGGTGTGGACAATGCTTGCAAATTTGTTTTTCTCTGCCGTAACATTACATATATACGGAAAACGTGAGGTTAATACATACAAATTCAAAAATATACGGCCTCGTCGTCATGGGTACATGCCAGCGAACACAAATGAACACAACTGGCGCGCGGGAAATGCGGCGGAAAATAACAAACATGGTGCTGGTGCGCTTTCCAAATACTGAAAGCTGATTGGCTAGTTCCGAATCGTCAGAGCAGCCAACCTAACGAATCTAAAAAACAGAACGAAAAATATCAGTAGCAACACGTAACCAGCGGTTCAACCGTGCATTTATCCAGCCTGGTGAAATTCCCAGATTGGAAAAGTAGTAATTTGCTTGTGCTTCAAGGATTTAACATCGAACTCAGCTGTCGGACAAGTTTAAAAAATGCCAAAATACGCTGTGACCTTTCCACGTATTTAATATTTTAACAAAATTGGATACGCCACATGTTACATAGGAAGTGATATAGACATGCAAAATGTAACATCAAATTTGTAAACGATATTTGAGCCCCAACTTCTAAGCGCGAACGATACCATTTTTAGCGCATTTCCACAAAAATAAAAAAAATTCACTACTGACGTCACTTTGTCCATCCGCCCGTCCGTGCCACTTTTTTCACTATTTGGTTTGTTATGATGTCGAGGAAATAATTTTTTTGCACTACTTTGCCATTTTAGCGTGCTAAAAAGACCCGAGGAGAGACCCAAATTCTAGATCTACCAATTTGATTGAGAGAAAATGAACTTGGGGCCATTATTTTATCATTGTGCAAGTGTTTTATTTATTTTATTATAATATAATAAATTATTATTTATTTTATTATAATTTTCTTATTTGTGGACCATTGTTGATTTTCATTGAGGACGCCGGGGCACGTAAAAAAATGATTAGCGCATGCGCAGAACCAAATTTCTTATTTATGGCCGGATTTTTCCGAAGGTGCTTCATAAAGAATAAATTCAGGGCACATCAAAAGAAGACTGTGCACCCGCACTAAAAACACGCGTGACAATTATTTGTGGCCCAAATCTTCCGAAATTTCAGCGGAAGATGTTTCCTATAAAAGCAAAAATGAAATTAATGTAAAAAAAATAGATTGTGTATGCGCAGCACAAAACTTTCTCAAGTGCGGATTAGTTTTTTTTAAATTGTAACTGAAGACGCCTCTTATGAAAGCGAATTGTACACACACAAAAAAAAAGATAGCGCATGCGTAGACCGAAATTTAATTTTTTATCGAAGGATTTTCCTAAAATTTTAAGTGAAAGTACTTCTTGAACATAAGCTACAAGCACAAAAAATAGATTGCGCAACGGCAGACCATTTGATTATTAATTTATTTATTATCCCTCTCTTCTTCTGGGCCTTGAACAGGCTTGCGCCCTATTACAGAGTGACCCCCATAATGCTTTTTAGAGGTGCCTCTGCAGAAGGTCTTAAGTGTTCTGTACTACTCCGGTTACCTTACGAATTAGGAAAACTGCAGGAAAACCTAATTCGGAGTAGTCGGCAGAATGCTTGAAACTGGTCTAAGGTAATTCCCATCTCTGCCACAGATGAAAAATTCACCTCAACCCAGGCTCGAACACCCAACCGCCGGATTTAGAGTCCAATGCTGTACAAGATTCAGGAGTGAGCGTACGGTGGAAAAGGTCACGTGATCACTGGGGCAAATGATTAGGCGCTTTCTTTCGACTACTTCGCGATCGTAATTCATATGATTACCTTAACCTTATACGAAAAACGCGCAAATTCAAAACAAAGTACAGGCCCTGCGCTATAAGGATGGTGAATAATGCCCAGTCTGAATATGACATCAGCAAGTGCAGGGAAAACTTGTCGATTGCGATTCCCACTTCAGTGGCGATACAGAGTGAACACCTTTTGTGGTGCACCAATAAACGAACGCTTTACAGCAAAAAGAGACCAACGAACGCACCTTAGACACAATAAAATATTACCCATGCGCATACTTGTACTTTTCAAATAACGTTTGTTACCATCATCATCATCATTTTATTTTTGTAAGTAACAATTGTATACTTACTTACACAACAAATTTACACGTCAACAAAGAAACATAGAAATGTATATATAGTTTAAAAACATGTTAGTGAGGTACTTCATCTATCTATTTAAATCTTCTTTTCCATTATAAAAAACTCCTAATGACAAAAGCTCTTTTACTTTTCTTCTACTGTAGCTTTGTCAAGTTTTTAAAGGCAATATGCAACAAGCTACAATATAAAGCACTCTCATACTCTGGCGACTTCTTAAAAAAGAATGTCGTGGTTTACTTAGTCAAAGATTGTCTTTGTGTCTAGTATCGTAAGTATGCACACTTTGGTTAAATGGCCAGAAACGAACTTTGCTGGGGTAACTGATTTTTTTCCCAAAAGACATGTGCAGGTGATTTTAGGTGCGGTCGTTAATGCCTTCTGATAACTCTTTTTGCGCTAAACCGAAACTGTTCATTTATTGATGCACCGGAACGTCTTGACGAGTGCAATAGACGTGATCATGTTGATTTTAACCTACAAAAATTAGCCATTGTGTCCTTTGATGGACTGTTTCGGTTTGCAATTTGTTTCAAAGATAATTAGGACATCATTTGCGTCTGCAATTAATATTTGTACCCATTCCCATGATTTAGCATTTGATCAGCCAAAATTAACATAACTTAGAGGTTATGTAATATGTTGACGCTCCACCCACAGGTCATGTGACCTTTTCCAGCCTATGCTCTGCTCTACTCCTGGAACGGGAAATCTTCATTTTTCAAAACTGACAGGTCGTATACACCATTTACTTGCACAACTGTCCTTATTGAATTAATTAAAATCATAGTTTTGTTGCTTTTTTGTAAAAAAAATGTTTAGCCGATCAAGAATTATAATCACTGCATCGCAATGTGACTCACAACTGAATCCCTTGGAACCATATACTTTCAAGAGTAACGTCACAGTAATATATTTAAATTAATCTCATTTCATTAATGTTACGAGATAATGCTTATACTTACCATGCTCTGCCTAAACCCTAAGGCTTTGTGTTTCGATGAGAACAATTGTATACCTCTTCTTACTGTTCCAAAAAACTTGGAAGTAGTCTTGGAAAACCCTTTTAGACAAAAAGTTCTGAAAAACTACTACCTATTTTAAAATACAGACGTATGTATTCCCAATTATTAAAAGAATCTCTGCGACATTCAAGCTTTACTGAATCACAGCACGACACTCTTTGATAGATCATTCTATTTCACAGTCCACAATATTTAGAACATACCACCAGTTTCGTTATACATAAATATTTTTGATACTAGCCTCAATTTTGTTTTTCACATTTTTAGTTTGTGTTAAAGCTTGCTCAATATCGCTATTTATTTTTGTATTGCAACTGGAATAGTGGTTATTAACCCTACCCTTCTGGTTTAGTGTCTGAAGTCGATTATTTGTAATTGTATGCCTTTAGCTGAAACCAAATATAGTAATAATTAATTACCCAATATTAAACGTAGAAGTTTCCCTAGTTGTACAAGATTGCATGCTTCTCCAATGCGTACAGCATCCGGTTTACCAATATCTAGAACGGTCAAGTTGAGGACATCTTGGTAATACTCGAATATTCTCTCCACAATTTTTTTCAAATTACTAACTCGCAGTCGCCAATTTGAACTGTCCGCCTTTATTTTCGGTTCGAGTATGCTGAAATGTTCGGGTGCTATCTGAACCAAAACCTGACATATTGCCACCCCATCGCTGATCTCTTCGAGTGTTTTGGTTCCTTTCGATACCAAGGCCTGCAACCATTTCACTAGGCTTTTGCTTACCTCTTCTGAGGGATCCATTACATAAATAATGCTATTTGTGTTGACAATTAATAAGGTAGACAATTAATAGTGAGGTTAGGTTGACACACAGGTCACGTGATTTGTTGGTTGACAAATCGATAAGAGCCGTTCACAATAGACACGGATTGGCGCGTTCACACAATCGAAGCCGCTTTTATGTCCAGGATGGGGCATAAAAAACTCCCATAAGGGGAGCTAATAAAAACGAAATTTTAGACAGGAAATTTTTCTTTTTGTTAACAAAGAACACACATAATTACATTTATGAATATGCAATATTAAACTATTTTAAACAATACGTCACTCACATGGCGTCCACCATTCATGATGACACGCTGGTTGAGTCGTTCTCTGAAGTTACCCATTACTCTAATATCGCAAAATTAAGTGTTTGTAAATGCACCGTTGTTTTGGCACGATTTGTGTAATGGATATCATCTAAACTTAGGGATGCAATTACTGCTTTCCATTTGAGTGAAAGAGAAGCTCTAAGCTAAGCTGTACCGTGGACGATGCCCTGTGTTCCTTTTAAGAAAGCTTCGAGCTCTTACGAGCCCGAAATTGGATTTCCCTTGTCCCTTCATGCACCACCATTTGCTTGGGGATTGAAACATTTTTGTGGTTATTTACGTACTGTGAAATAAAAGTGTGAATGTCAATTCAAATGCGTTAAAAATGAACAAAATTGGTCGCTAGTTAGTTGTGGAAATAAAAATGTTTCCACTATTATTACTGGTGCTTTTGTTAAACTATAATGTCTTCATCAAATAGTGTCTTAGCTTGTTCACTTATGTATGGATCCACAATTTTGCCCCCAAATGAGAATTGAGGTTTTGTACAAAAGAGATCAAAATCGTTACATAATTATAGTGTGTAAACCAAATTTGGCTCAACCCCTGTAACTTTCGTAGAATTGGATATACATACCAATCGATGAATATAAAATTTGGATGGATATGATATTACGAATAATACCTAACTGAATACACTAAACTTTCTAAAATCTCACTTGTGGCCACAAATTTCAAAAGAGCTTTTATTAGCAGAATCTCTCCCCCGAGATAGATAACTCGCTCCTAGTGGTATCACAGTCTACAGTTGAGAGTCGAGGTCAACCATAGCATTAGGTGTCGTAATTCATTTGGTTACAGTTTTTGCCACCCCCACGACAGCCTCATTCACCTAGAAAATGTTAATATACAGACAACAAGTCGGTACACACCAGAAACAATTAATTCGATAACTTCCACGTATTTAAAGAATGATCAAAATTTATATAAATATTACTTCTGGCCCAGAATTAATTTAATTACACGCGAAATGAATTTGAGTCAGTTTATTTTCATTGCATCAGCATTCCTTTTTTTTAGTTTAGTGGTTGTGTTATAAGTTGTATATACAGGGTGAAACCTCTCAAGGTGACGCCGTTGAAGAGGATATCTCACATGGGCCGTCTATAGCTTCATTAAACATTTTTGTATAAGTTTGCATTCCAACAAAAGTGAAAAAAAAAACAATCTAAAACCTAGCTAGAGGTACAAATCATTGAATTTATAACTTATAAATTCAATGGTACAAATGATAAAAAGAAACGCATGCCTATATCACCGCAGGAGGAGGAGGAGAAGCAAAAGAAGAGTGTGGAGGAGAAGAAGGCGTGGCTCCCAAACGATAAATTCTCATATTCTCAGTTTACTTTTGAAAAAAACATGCATATGTAATTATATGTTTTGATATATAAAAAGTACCTATTATAGATATTGAAAATAAAATGTTTGTACCATTATAGCATTAAGTACACTTTTATTTACCTAAAACAATTACCACAAAACCATTCTTTGTAAGCTTTGTCTTGATTTTACTCTTTTGAAGCTTCTTTTTTACTTTACATCCTTTATATCAGTTTTACAAATGGCTACCGAAAATGGCCGAATGTTGGAACCATATATATGGTTGGAACCATATATATTATGGTTGGAACTCCCACTCAGGGTTGCCAACTTGGGCGATTTATCGCAAAATGGGCGATACAAAATCCAAAAAAGCTCCCATTTTTTAACATTTGCGATATATCGCAAATTGGGCGACTCCGAAAACGCTTACGGGAACTTATTACATTTAATTTCTCTCATTCTCATTAGTCTCATTAGGACGTAGTATTTACATGCGCGCATATCTGTTGTTTTATTATCTGTTGTGTTACCTTTAGCTACTATCTGTGAATATGGGATTTTTTAATATGAAATAAATTCAATTTTATTTTGTCGTTTTATTGTGAAATTTATTTGGAAAACCTTGCGATTTTGGGCGATTTTAAGAAATCCCAACTTTTGCGATTTTGGGCGATATCCAGAGATCATTTTGGCGATATGTGTGAACGAAAAGTTGGCAACTCTGCGTCCCACTGCAAAAGGTAAACATTGCATAAATGACGTGTAGGGTAGGATGTTAAAAACCCTCCATTCAAATCTGTTCATTTTCATTTTGAATAACAAAACCTTTTCAATTTAATCGCCAAGTATGTGATCAAATGATTACGATAAGATAAGTTATGTAGATCTCCGAGTGAAAAATGGTTTCCCTAAACTTTCCTTTTCTATGTCTCCTAATATGTTCCCTTCTATCACTAAGTACGCAAGATATCGCCCAACTGCCTCACTGTACCGAGGATAACAAGCAAACAGAGTGAGTTTCTCCAACGGATGTGGATCTAAGTAATAGGAATATTTTAGGTTAATATTTGTAAGCACACTTGATGGAGCGTTTTCTGCTCTCACCTCCACGGGAACTCTGGCTTGGCAGATTGGCACGGGACCTGGTTCTCTGTTAAACTCTAATATACACCAGTTAGAGGTAGGTATACGAGTCGATTATTATCTGTATAAAACATCCGGTGTCTTAGTTGTCAAATAATGGCCAATGGATTCGAATTATACCTTCGTTGTCGGGCAGTTTATACAAATTTAACGGAATTACTGTCGATCCACTACCTATTTCCGCAGATTCTTTATTAACATCATCCTTTCGATATTTAGACGATTTGGCCGTTGCAGGTAAGAGCGTGTGCTCATTAGTTGCGAGTTAATTTGTAATTTCAGGTGGTAGAGAGGTTCGAACGTATGGGGTTGCGTTACATACAGGACAGACTCTGTATGAATGCTCATTGGGAGGATGTCATAATACAACCGAGTATACAGAGGATGTGTTGGATGTTATTATTGTCGAACGGAAGACGCACACAGTTCGTGCTGTCGAACCTCGCACTGGTGTTGAAAGGTAAGCTATTGTGGTCATTAAACAGGGGTGGGGGGGTCTATGCCACAGTGCTCAAAGGCTGTTTTCGTACCTCCTCACTCACACACGACTACTGGTGATATCGCATTTCTTACTGTACTTATTAAGAAAGGACCATTTTAGGTGCACATAGTATATTTTTGTGCTCACAAAACATAAAATATATTAACCATAGTTCCGAGACTTCCTGCAAGCAGTGCCATCTGCAGGAATTCGTCTTGTGATTTAAAAACCTCGCATGGATGGCAATATAAAGGGTTTGATAATTATTTAGCAATTTTTTGGTTGTGTAACATGCGTGAATGGTCCGTAAATACGGTCCTCTCTTTGTAATGCGTTTGAAAACGTTAGGCGCCAAAGTTATGAATAGTGATTGGTTCAGAAGGAAAAATTTTGTTTATTTTGTAGTCGCTGTCTCGTGAACATCACTCCACTTAAGTTGATTTAGGACCTCGAGGAATCTGATTGGTTGTGTAAAATTAGTTTATTGGTGGAAAAGATTCGCGTCATTAATCACAAAAGTAAAGTAGTGGGTTGTTCTAGGTGAAACGTCAGGCAGTGTGCGTTAAACCGTGAGCAAAGTTATCTGTAAAATTAGCGCAGGGGGGTGTTAAGTCAACCACCTGAAAATTACCGTAGGGTGGATTTTATCTTGTGTTAAAATGTGCGGTGAGGCGTAAGCTAAGTCGGTCGAATCAACTGTTATTTTGGATAACCCTCAGTTACAAGGGGATAATTTACGCCTTAGAAACTATTACTGTGAATGCGACCAATAGCGGAAGTTTTAAACGTACAAAATTAAAAGTGTGCTGAATTGCGAAATAGAGGATATGGTTGCGAACACGGACAACAGCGCGAAATTAAATTCTGGGACCCTGAAAACTAGAAGAACGGATAATAAAATAAAATTTCTTGTTGATGATTTTTATTTAACACACGTTACGCCACCTGTATAGGTATTTCTCTGTAAATTGATTGTAGTTAGATTAATTTTATCAATGTTATTTCGTAGTTTTTCTTATTCTACCGCTAGAGGTCATGAAGATTCCCTATTTTAAATTTCTTCCCTTCTCTTCTTAACGCTTGCGTACAAGTGATACCAAGATACCTGTACAATTTCATTGTTTGCTTTGTTACTTCGATCGTTGTTACTATAAAAGAACATAACACGCCACTTTTTTCTTCGACTTTGTATGGTGCTTTTTTAAAATGGTTTTATATTGGATGTGTATTAAATATCTGTTTCCTTGTGTGTTGTGTGTACATTACGTTACTTTTGTTGTTACTTACATAGTTTACTGTTGTTGGATAGGAATTGAGTTATTTTTGCTTTGTACAGTAGTCTTCTTGAGATAACGGTTATTTTTGTGAATTTCCATTTATACCTACAACTCATGTCAATAGAAATTTTTCTTTTGCTGTCTAACGTAACTTGGATTATTGTTGATTGCAATTTCAGTATTCGAGTTGATTGACGTGTCAAACATTAGATTTGCCTCGCACTTATATGCCGTACTGTTCGTAATCTCCCTCTCTCTTTTTGTTTTTGTTTTATCTGATTGCAGATTATTGGCAGACAGCGGCTTTCTGAATTCAGACGACATTAATTTTATAACAGTATTGAAATAAAATATTATGTATCACTCACGATTACACAATTTATAACAGCCCGAACTATTAATGACTTCGGCGTCGTAATTGGAATTGAACTGAATCATACTTCGATTTGATTATATAGCAACCCCCCCTCCCCTCTTTCTTGACATCTCCGGGAAACTTCCGAGTCTAACTAATCTTTCATGGCGCCTCGATGTTTATCGGGAGTTCTGGAATATTCGCTACAATATATTAAGTAATTATGTATAAAAAGGCACGGCAGCAGTAGTCACTTTCTCTTCAGTAAAAATGAACTTAGATTATTAATCATTATAATTATTTATGAAGAATTCGTATGATGCCATTTCAAGGTCGAGTTTTTTCAATAGTTTTAAAACATGCACTGAAATGATGGGAATTTTTACGCAGGTGACGCTTCTTGCGGTAAATGTAGGAACTAGAGTTTATATAATTTAGAGGTTTTGTGTGCACAAATATCTATATATCTGTTAACGAACGTTTAGTGTTTGTATTGTTACAAAAATATATATTTCTCCAAAACCATAGCAGTATACACAGTGTGTCCACATAAGTTCGCAGCATATGTCAAACTTTTCTATTATTAAGATTATGTAAAAAGTTCTGCATGATCTGAAACACAAAATGCTACCATCAGATATAAACTTTTTTCAAAATTCAAATAAGTAATGTGAATTTTGCTCAAGAGGAAAAATACCTTTATTTGTTATAATATCGAAAATTGTTATCAAAAAATGTCCTAAAATGACAAAATAATTTATTTTACAATTATTAATTTGAATATAGTGCTAAATAATAATTGCGTAATAAGCTTAATTTTTTTCTTGATAACAATTTTCGATATAACAAACAATGGTATTTTATTCTTGAGCAAAATTCATATTATTTGACATACCTCGTATACGGCTGAAAAATTGATATCTGATGGTTGCATTTTATGTTTCAGATAATCAGAATTTTTTTTTGTAATATTAATAAAAAAGTTTCCAATATACTGCGCATTTAGTGGACACACTGTATATATATTGTAAAAAAATGATATATTCAGAAAAATAATGCCGGTTTTTCGTTTTGTTCAACATACAACATCAGCCTTAATGGCATGTTAATGATCATTAACAAAAACTGGACATTGCAGTCATTTTCGGTGTGAAGTCTTAACATTGAGTTGGAGGTTGTGGTCAGACTCCTATTTTTTTTGCTAAATCCAAATTAACATGAACTACAAGGTGTACACTCTGTAATTCCAACAGGTGGAATTTTACCGTTGGTCAACACAACATCAAAATACCGTATTTAAGTTGTGTCAACACTAATATGAAAGTAACCAATATAAATATAAGCGCCGTCTTACCCGAAGGTCTTTTGTCGGCGTCCCATATGGAGAAACCCACTAACATTATATGGCAATACAAATTTGATACGCCGATTGTCGCGATTTGGAGATGGGATGGCAGAGAAGTGACACCGTTAAATTTGTTCAGTTCACCTGCGGTTATGGTGTCAAAGAAGAAGGCCGACACACCGTCTATCTACGTAGGGATGCACAACAAGCAGTTGTATATACACGAATCAACGAGCATGAAGAATATTTTGCACCTAAGGCAACGAGGTGGTGATAAAGATTCGGGTAAGTGTTCTGTCAAAATTCCCCCGCCAGTGGTGGCAGCTAATCGCATTACTGTACAGTTATAGAAAGTCAAAGTTTGGCTAAAATTCCATGGAAACCCGTTCCGGCAGTTCTCGAGATTGATGGAATAGATAACGACACAGATGATTCAACCGCTTTGTCAGTGTTATATGGGTCCGAGTATGTCAATGGTAAGGTGCAGTTTTCCGCAAATCCTTCAATTAAATGAAGCTGTCTTAGGCAATGGATTTTATCTCTATACAGACGAGAAACTTGTTTGTGGTAACAATGGGACAAATTCAACAATCCCACCAAAAGTATCACAGGAGACTATATGGGATTGGTGGTTAGTATTTTGTAGTGTTTTGCAGTGGAGAACTTAAGACTATCTATCGCGAATCTTCGCGCACTATTCATTTACATTTACAATAGTGAACAAGAACAGCTTGTTAACATGTCTCATGTGACATTTTTGTACACTGACATGTCTAAATAGAGATATCAATTTTCAAAATTGAGCCGTTCAAGGCCTAATTCTTTAGCGCAGTTTCCTCAAAGTGGAAAAAACGCTAATGACTGCACTTTGTCGTCCGTCCGTCACATGTACTACTTCTACATGACTGAACCGATTTTGACGACATGGAGCTTATTTGAAAGGGCTTGGTGCAAGAATCCCGTGCGTACCGATATTTTTGGTTGTGCGCATGCGCAGTGTCAAAAATTTGCTTAACGCATGTGCAATGCTAACTTTTTAATTTATGAAGATATTTAAATAAAACTATATGTAAACACCTTATTTACAAAAGCATTTAAATGAAATATAATATATAGGCGCTTGGAATAAAAGCAAAACTAACACCAAATTCAAAGTTTGATTTTGCGCATGCGCAATGCCACACGTATACGCTAGCGATTACCCTAACGGGAAGGCAACCAACTAAGCACAAATTAATTAGCGGTAGCTACGGGAAATCAAATGCAGGAAAGAAAAACAATATCCTCTTATAATTAAGGGAACAGAAAGTAGCAAAAGCTTACATTGCAATTAGACGTAGCGGTAGAAATTTAGGTGCAAGACAAAGCAAAAGCAGTAAATACGGTACAGTAAACTTATTGCGAAATAAATTTAGGAAAAGTACCAAAAATTCTTACGGCACTTACAAATATCACTAGCAAAACTCCAAAGACAAAATATTGATGATTTAAATATGGTTGCCGAAGTAAGTTTACGAAAAAGTGAAAAAATTATGGTACCTACGAATGTAAGTTGCAAAGATCTAAAAGTCAAAAGATCCTCTTTAAACCTGCTATAAAATTGGGCCATGAATTAAAACTTCTCGTTGTCTTCCGTATTTAAAGGACCACCACTTCCACTACAGAATTTTTTCTTTCTTTGTGAAATTTCAAATAAATCGCCAATTACAATGGAGGTAGCCAAACGTCCCTACTCTACTATGAAACGCGCCATTCTTCGAAATACTTGCGTCCTTGTTACTCAGCACCAGATGTGCATTTTCTTGAAATTAATTCACTTTTCCCTCATAAAGACTACTTTTCGCAAACCATTAAATAAAATTATTTTTGGTGTTTCGTTCGAAATAACGGCTACATGATAATATAACATGGCGTTACACAACAATACAATCGACTATGGTCTTTTTCCTAACGAAATTCATTCATTAATAAACATTTTGACATCTTTTGGCTACCAATATGTTGGTCACCAAAAATACATATCTTCGCCACCAGCGTTTGGTCTCTTTTCCAACAAAATTGCTGCATAAATAACGATTTTAACATCTTTTGGATAAACATATTTGACCGCAAAATCACTTCGAGAGCACTGAGCAATCGCGTTTTGGTCTTTTTACTAAGCGAATTAGTGCATAAACACTTTGTTTACAAATCCATATGAATCACTTCTTGATGGATACCAAAGAATCGTCTTTGGTTTTTTTCCCAACAAAATTGGTCCATAAATAACGATTTTAACTTCTTTTGCCTAAAAATATTGTGGTCACGAAAAATGCATACGGATCATGTCTTAGGCACTGAGGCATTGAAGTTTCTATTCCAACAAATTTTGTTGCATAAATAAGAATTTTAACCAATTTTGTATAACCTGAAGCCGATACAAGGTTTAGGACTGAACCTTAGCGCAGAACGACGGACAGGACGACAAAGTGAGGAACCATGGTAACGTCGGTAAAGTTAGGTATCTGTTCATAAGCAAACATCAGTAACCGTGAACCAGGTACTTCCATTCCAAAACGCGCCTACCTTTCTGAACCCAACGAACTCGACTAGCGTACCTTTTTAAATCAATAATAAACCTGCATTATGGCCACGTGTTCGCCTTTAAACAGAACTCAGGTCTCCAGAGGTCGTGGCAACCGCGCTCGCTTTCTGCAATACGTTTATTGTTATGGATGGTTATCACCAGACATACTTTCGTTCACGTTCGCTATGAAGCCCATTTTGAAAATTAGGTAAATGTACTGCAAACGATAAACTGACAAGATTCTTTATCATAGTCAGGGCCAGTTAGAGTACGGTTTAGGTCAATGAGATATTTCCATCTTTGATAGGCTTAAGACTTAGCATTAATGTTGCTATAGTCTTTGCATAAAAGAAATAGACAACAGAATGCTGAACTTTATTAACCACAAAATCAAGTGACATGTTTACGATTTCTCTCATTTTAGGAAAGAAGCTCTCGTAATTATTATTACGTTGATGTTTATTTTCAACATGGTTTTCACCTACAAATTGCCGCGGTTTTATAAACATGACAATGTGGTCCTTCCTGCTCCGCCATCCGAAACTGACGAAACGGCATTCACCTCCAGATACATGACCGAATTTGATCCGATCGCATGTTTGGGTAAAGGTGGTTTTGGAGTTGTGTTTCATGCCAAGAAAAAGTTCGATGAGTGCGAATATGCAATCAAAAGGATTACTCTACCAAAAAGGTAATTTTTAATTTAATATCATCTTATGTGCTGCTGTAGTTGTAAATAAGCTTAACCCCCAGAATGATAGTTCTCTATAATTTTATTTTGCAAAGTGTCTTATATTATTATTTTTTATGTGAATTTGACATTAGTTCTTAACTCCTTATCCATTATATGTTTTTGGTTATTATATGTGATACATCAGGGGAGCATAGTGCTAGCTATGTGGAATTCGTTTCAGACATGGGGGGGGGCTAAATTAGTTCATTAAAATGTCACGTGATACGAGCTTTAGGGGGAGTGGCCTAAATAAACTTGATTCACTTGCTATTGATTCACCTCTACAAATTTTAAATTACTAGGGAAACGGCCAAAGATCGAATGATGAGAGAGGTGAAAGCTTTGGCAAAATTGGATCATCGTAACATCGTGCGGTATTACAACGCTTGGTTGGAATCTCCTCCATACGGTTGGCAAGTCGAGCACGACCAGCGCTTGTTAAGGTTGGTGTTGAACATTCGAGGGCGGGGCGTAATTAATAATAATAATAATTATTATTATTAATACTTTTTCATTTTAGCGATTTTAGTTCGTACAATTCCACCAGTGCTCCAAGTCGCCTGTTTTCGACATTCGCGAAAAATGTTGAATCGCATTGCTCGTTTGAGACCGGATTTTTCGACGAGTACAACAGAAATGAGAGCGTTGGCGATGGTTCGTCGATTGTTTTTGAAAATAGTGCGAATACTCCAACATCAAAACGCTCTAAAGAGAGCACTGTTTCAAAGTACAACCAAAGGCGGGATTCCAATTCGTGTACTGTATGCATTTCGCCCATATACCTGTATATACAAATGCAGTTGTGCTGTAAACAAAGCTTGAAAGAGTGGTTAAGCACTTGCTCTGTTAGGGATCGAAGTCAGTCCCTGGCAATATTTGGGCAAATAGTTGAGGCTGTGGAATATGTTCACTTCAGACATTTAATACATAGGGACCTGAAGGTGTTACGCTCTGTATTGTGGTTTATTTATTCTTATTGTTTTCCATACAGCCCAGCAATATATTTTTTTCATTGGAAGGGCAAATAAAAGTGGGAGACTTTGGATTGGTTACCAGTATTAAGGAGTATGATGCGGATGATGATGACGATTACTCCAAATTATCCCTTAAAAAGAGTTATACAAATGCAGTTGGTATAACGAGCAAATTTAATTTGAAACACAAAATCACTTTTGTATATTGCAGGGACACATTTGTATATGAGCCCAGAACAACTAAACGCTCAGCAATACGACTCTAAAGTTGATATTTATTCTTTAGGTATAATATTGTTTGAACTCCTAGTTGCATTTAATACTGAAATGGAAAGGGTCAACGTTTTATCAAATGTGCGTCAACGTAAGTACCCTAAGGAGTTTACTGCAAAAATTTCGAAAGAGGTGAGTAGTGAATGGACACATATAATTGCATGTTATATACTTCTCTTAGCTTCCTTTGTTGAATTCCATGCTGTCGAGTAATCCAATGGAGCGTCCCACGGCGACGGGCATTAGGGAACGGCTTTGTTTGGACGATTCTAATAAAATGGATGACTCAAGGTTCAACTTCAATCTGCCCACTTCAACTTTTGTAAATACGTTAGTTAATTGATACTTAATTATTTGTACATTCCTACGCTTTGTTAATTTATGAATATAGTTATAAGGAAATAATTTTTTTTCCGCAAAATGCATTTCCATATATACGGGGTGTTTCAAATGGGTAACTTGTGTTGGTACAAATAAGACTCTTAACGTATGATGACAATCCTCTCTTCTTAAGACCATCCTGATCGTTACTCGCCGAAACTGTCCAGTGGCCTGCGACGACTTCCTACTGCTTCGTGCAATTGATTCACGTAGGTTGGTTCCTTTAGGAATATTATGATGACGTTAAATAAAATTCCTATACACATTTTTTTTTGAAATGAGGTCATTAAACTTGCTTTTTTAACAAGGCGTTACTATCGGAGATTATTTATAGCAGAGAAATTAATATATCGTCCTGGTATGTAAAGCAGACACTGAAAATGGTGACTTATCCTATACCTATTTACAGTTGACAACTCTGGGGAACAATTACAATAAGCAACTCGATCTAACTTTTGATATCAAAACGTTGGACTTTTGCAGCACTTTCAGATCTAGGTAGCATTCAGTAAAGACTGGGTGGTATGAATGGAACACTACTACTTTTTACTACAGAATTCTTTTATATGGTGGAACGTGAGACACAATCGGGGAGGGAATTAAATAAAAGACAGAATTTTTGTACGTCCGAAGAGAATAAGAAAAATGAAATTTATTACGCACGAGGCTTTGTTCCGTTCCAGCAAGAAAAAAACCTGGCGAGACACACAAATACAAGAAGTAAAATAATGCAAAAAAGAAATACACAAATCAAAACGAGATATAAATGGCATCATAACTACAAATGGAAAAACAAGATAAATCATTTTAGTATAAAATAGTGTAAAAAGTGATAAATTGCATGTGCCTAAAGAACGTCACAATGGGCATGACTTTTTTCCGACATCGTCCATAATTAATTTAACACGAAAAAGTTCGAATGTCAGCAGTAGGTATATAAGTAAACCATCAAATCTACAAATCTCGTATTTTAAACGGAAAAAAATTTATTAGAGCCCCCTCACTTGTATTACGTACGGTCTGCATGAGGTTCTTCATTCCATGGAAAAAAATGGTTAAATCAAACATTCAAGGTAACAACATAAGTACTGATAGTATACTCTCCCGCGTGAACACGTTAAATGATAGTGAATCCTGTAATAATTCTCCCCAAGCCGGTTCAACGACTGCGCAGAACGGTGTCTTGAATTTACTTTCGTATAAGGTGTGTTACTTATCTGTAGGGGTGTTATTATCACAAATGCTTTCTCAGGTAGGCGATCGGATTCTAGCAGGTAAACGATAAAATCTTCACGCATCAATTTGTACGTTCGAAGTCAAGCTGCGAATATTTCACGCTACACGTTAAAATTTTTACGAACGAATTGCTGCGAATACAGACTTCTGTTTTGTAGGCTTGCTGGAAAAACTGAAACGTCACACAGTCAACTCGCTGAGTTCTCTTGTTTTTTTGTAGATATACCGCCATACGATTTAAAGGTTCTCTAACACCCCGCCGCAGCGGTTATTAGAACTATCGATTCAAGTCGAAACGACGGACGTAATAAACGAAGTACCTGCGACAACAAAACGTACACCAATCAAATATCACAACCAAATTGTATCAGGTATCGAGTCAAATGACGGACGAAACACAAGAGACCTCATAAATACTAGTGGAAAAACACGATAAATCAATTTAGTACAAAAACACATCTACGGTTCAATTCAGGCAAAACAACATAACTCGCATAAAACGGCAAATTTCCACGTACATAGAAACCATCAAAATGACCTGGCTCTATGTACTCCAGCTCCGGCTATAATTAATTTAACACGAAAAAGTACTAGTGAAAATACAGCAGTAGGTATCCATGCTAATTCACATCCCGAATCACATATAAAACAGAAGGAAAGTTAATTTGAGGGCTCACCTTCTCGTATTGCTTACGCACAGTCCGGCAGCGGGCACGAGATAAGGGAGCAACGTATACAGCGCAGAATCGGAACCGTGCTCCCTTCACGGACATAAATTGCTAATCGAATCGTACAGGCGATATCACACTGATAATTTTACATGAATGCAAAAATAAATACTTTATAAAATTATACAAAAGCATAAGCTCAGTAAGGGTACTCAAAACAAAAGCTTGGAGCACGCCACGCCTTCGATAAATAGATATTAATATTTTATATAAAATGAAAATAATAGCAAATTGTGAATCCAAAGTTTGATGGTTAGTACGAGAAAGAATAAATTACGAGATACGAGCTACTACAAAATAAACATTGCGCAAAATCCTTGGCACGCCATCACGCTACACCTGCTATTAGTCGAGCCCGGGTCGAAATTCCGTTATTTGTACACTAGTAACATGGCCGCTTACAGTGAGGTCAGGTTAAAGCAGCAACTGTATTGACCGTATGTATACATATCGTTTTAAGGCGGGATCTACAGATTTTGCGCCTATGGGCCTCTTGAAATCTTCGACCAAAACCCTCCCCTCCTCCACCAGTGAAAAGCACTTTTATGCAATATTTTTTACTTCTTACAAAGAATGAGTGTTAATACGTTTAATATGTTAATTACTTTTGCTCAGATTGATTTAATTATGTATAGTAGCATTTTCCAACTCATTATGACCACTTCTCCGTCCGTCCATCCGAGGCCGCAACTACGTTTAGTTCGTTATATTTTAATTAGGTAGCCTATAGTTCTGGCACCGGAGCCAAGAAAATCTTGATCATTAATGTGCGCATGCGCAGGCTGCGCAATTTCAACTTTTTTCTTTAATATATTTTGTTGAAATTTTAACCGCATATGCTTCTAGTAAATGGAAATATATCGCCTACTGCAAAAATCAGATGTGCGCATGCGCAATGCAAACTTTTTTTATTTATTTGAAATTTTAACCATAGATTCTTTTAGTAAGAAAAACATAGCCCACTGATCAAGGCATGGAAAATGCGCGAAAGTTTCTATAGCCTTAGGGCGAAAATCGTTTTACTTGTTTATGCTTAAATAATGAAATTTATAAAGCGTTATTTGTAGTTTGAATTACAAACAAACAACTGTTTAAATTTAGAGAAATATACTCCCTTTTTATTAATATTTCTGCATCATTACATCCCACATCAATTTCAAATAACGTATTTCAAGCTTTTTATTTTTCAGTTTAAACAGGTACAGAAAAATTGTGCACGACCCAACGAATTAATATTCATTATACCTATTATTATACAATATAGGTATAATGCAGGCTCGCCACTGGTCACGCACAGCAAAAAAAATGCAAACAGTTGATGGAATAAACTAAACAAATATAGAAAACGAGCTCCTGGGTATGGCTATAGCATGTGCAAAACTAAATTTTAAAACTGATATTAGTTTTGCTTTTATTTAAAGTGTATAAGTATGAAATTTAATTTAATTGCTTCCATAAATAAAAAAGTTGGCACTGCACGCATCCTACACAAAACCATATTTGGAAAATGGCGCTACATTTTAAATTTTAAACCTGATGTTAGTTTTGCTTTTATTCCAAGTGGCTATGTATCAAATTTCATTTAAATGCCTGCATAAATAAGAAAGTTGGCACTGCGCATGCGCAAAACCAAATGTTTAAACTGGTGTTAAATTTGCTTTTATTTCATGTGGCTATGCATCAAATTTCATTTAAATCCCTCCATAAATAAGAAAGTTGGCACGGTGCATGCGCAAAACCAAATTTTGAAACAGACTTTATATTTGCTTTTATTCCAAGTGGTTATGTATAAAATTTCATTTAAATCGCTCCATAAATAAGTAAGTTCGCACTTCGCATGCGCAAAACAAAATTTTGAAATTTGCGTTAAATTTGGTTTTATTCCAAGTGGTTATGTATCAAATTTTATTTAAATGTCTCCATAAATAAGAAAGTTTGCCTGCGCATGCGCAAAACCAAATTTTGAAACTGGCGTTAAATTTGCTTTTATTCCAAGTGGTTATGTATCAAATTTCATTTAAATACCTTCATACATAAAAAAGTTTGCAATTCGGTTTATAAATTGTTGAGATGCAAAAAGGGCACTTTGAATGTTGATCGATTAGGCTCAATTTTTGGAATTGCGTTTTATATGGCTAAAGCTATACCATATATTATGGCTATACGCATATTGAATTTCATGCAATTCGGTTCATAATTCACGGAGATGTCAAAAGGGCCTTTCTTATTTTTTGGGCTACATTATGCCAATTCACGAACTCCGATCTGCAAATTTGATAAAGAATCCATCTACTAAGTTTTATCGTAATCGGTCCATTCGTTATCGAAATATCGTGCTAACGACGGACAGACACCGCAAAATTATAAACTCGCTAGGAGCTCGTTAATAAACGAAAAGTTTTTTTTTTTTTTTCATATAACAGAAACTATTTCCTAGGAAGTAACGATCTATTTGTGTCTGTCTTTTACGATTCCTACGCGCGTGATAGCTAAGTTTGTCCCAATGGACGTCCTTAGTTGTTTTTGAATTTATGTCAGCTCGAACGGTTTCGTCCTCTTGAGCCGCCTAAGGGTAAAACGAGACATCATGAGCCTGGACGCCTCTTCATTGATGTGTTGTTTTATTCTATTTGCATGTGAGACAGCATGTCTCTTAATGATGTCGCTAACCATCTCCACTCCGAGGTCACGGTGCAGGTCGGTTGCTCGAACGTACTTAGGTGCATTGGCTATATTGCGCAGCACTTTATTCTGAAACGTTTGGATTTTATCGATGTGGTTCTTTTTAGCACAGCCCCATATCTGGATCCCATATGTCCACACTGGTCGTATTACCTGTTTATACAGTAATACCTTATTGTACGTTGAGAGCTCGGAGTATCTTCCCAGGAGCCAGTACATTTTTTGGAGTTTCATGTTCAGTTCCACGACTTTCTTTTTGACATGTTCGCTCCAACGAAGTTTTACGTCAAGGTTCATACCGAGGTACTTTGCCGTATTGGAGGGCTTAATGTATACGCCATTAACAGCTATTGTGCTTTGAATGCGTTTTTTATTTGT